CACGAGAGGTCGCAGGGAGCCCACTGCTCCTCCTGCCTCGCTGCGCATCCTCCCTGCTGCGGCGGGGACCTGGGGGGTGGGAGAGGCTGTCCCCAGGACCGTGGCGGTGGCTCCATCTCGCTGTTTTATGACCTGTTTGCGCTGCTGGGGCCCCTACGAAGTGGGACTGCTGGTACCGGCGGTACCAAGCCTCAAATATTCCCAGCTGGCTGCGGACGGATCCAACAGTCAGCTGCCGGAGAGGTGGGACACGGCAGAAGCTGGGTCTTCCTGCGGATGGGATGGACAAAAGGGTACAGAGGGGGCTGAAGGACAGTGAAGCCACTCAGTACAGAAGGAGACCTCCGAGAAGCCCCCCGAGCCGAGCACGGGCTGTACAGCGGAGGGGACGTGGCCGATTGCCGGTGGGAGGAAGGACCTTCGCAGCAGCAGCAGGGTGCCGGGGCAGGGCCACGCTATGCTGTGGGGGGGATGCTCAAGTGCAAAACGGGAGCTAGGCACTCGGCCCGGCATCGTCTGGGCACGGGGAGCGATGCAGCAGAGACCGCAACACAGGGACCAAGGGGAAGTGACAGGAATACCAGGGACCCGACGCTTACCGCGCCTAGGAAAACCCTGGTCCATAGGAAGGGGTACGGGCAGGCTCTGCTTGTACGGACTGATCCGGCATGGGGCCAGGTCCTGCAGATACCCACACACGCGCCGAGGAGCTGCGTGTGGGTAATTCAGTTCCCTCCACGTATACTTTAATTTGGGAGGAAAGCACAATTCCTTCTTTTGTTGGAACAGCAGCATTTTCCCCTTCAGATAAAGATTTATAGAAAACTTTTTCTAAAATACAATTATTTCCCTCCTAATTAGAGTAATTTTTAATTGCTCCTACACCTTTGAAGAAGGATAATGAATGGCTTGGGTTTATTAGCAGCCTTTTATCAGCATCTCATGGGACTCCTCTGTTGTCAGGGGATTTAAGCTCTGCCTTGGCCAGAGAACTGTCAGAAAGCAGAGGGGCTCTAGAAACGCGCTCGTCTTTCAGGGCTGTGTAGAAGATTGCGGTAGGAATTAAACCCATCACAGAGCAGGACGTTTTTACCACACCGAATTAATACAGTAACCTCTAAAATCAGCACAGACAAGATGGGCTCCTTTAACGTTTCCCAATTAAACACCGGCACGGCCCCGGCACGGCGCGCGTTTGCCAGCCCCTCTCCAAGCCGGGCGGACTCCCCTGCCTGCAAGGCCCTTGGGGTGGGACACTCCGGCAGGGATGCTCCCAGGGTTTGGGATGGTACCGACCAACCTCTGCCCCAGTGCTGCTGGAAAACTGTCCCTGTCTTGGTGACAGCGCAGCATGCCCCGTATCCCAATGGACAACGCAGCAGAGCACGCCCTAATCCACGGATCCCTAATTTGCAGAGGCCACTTGGTGCCTCTGCCCTTGCAGAGCGGTGATGATGCCTTTGACACCCACTGCAAAAGACCACCCCAAAATGCTCGACACCCTGAGGTCATCCGTTAGGTGCAACATGTCCTAGGACGTGCCTGGGCACTTGTGCAGTGCTGGAGGTGCAAGCGGTGGTAGAGTGGACGTGCCAAAGCCAGGTTCGGTGAACACGGGGGACTTGTTGGGGGAGAGGATAGCAGGGATGAGATTAGCGAGAAGAAAAATGAAAGACGAAAATACCGGACAGGCCCAGGGAGCCACCGCTTGGTGACGTTCAGGAGAGCTGAGAGCTTGGGAGAGAGCGAGAGAAGAGGGGTTTGAAACTCCCCAGAGAAAAATGGGCTTTAGAAGGTGCCTTTCTCCCTGGTAATGCTCCTATCTGGGTCCTGGGAGGGCAGTAAGGGCTGGCGAGGCTCTTGTGGGGTAGTATCATGGAACGGAGTTGTCAAACCCAGGGAGGGCTGGAGAACCCTGGTGCTTCATCAGCCCTGATGGCGAAACCTGGAGCAGGGAGCTGGAAGCAGCAGCAGCGGCTGCAGGAAGGCCTGTCCTGATTT